GAAATGTCCGTCATCACCGCCATCATCAGAATTTAGATTTAAGACGAGATCAGTGGAAGAAAACACACCAAAAAAAAAAAAATCTTCATTTGTGGAGTCGGTGTTGACTGAAAGGGGGGGAGAGGCTGAGGGGTGAGGCGGGGGGGTCACCAGTGAAGACACACAACAACTACACACACAGATACACAACAGCTGTTTTTATTCCCTCTCTTCGTCCACTTTTACGCACAGCGACAGCACTTGGTGTCCCAGCTCCGTGGGCCTGAGTGTCCGTGTGGGGCACGTGTCTGTGTCTGTAGTTTAACTCCACATATAAATCACTCTCCTCGCTGCATACATAAGTAATAAGAGGAGCCTCTGGTCTTTGTGCTCCGCGGCCGCGTCTGCCCGTGCGTGGATATTCCTGTCTCCCTCTGGTTTTCGTTTGAAAGGCAAATTGACCTCTTAACTGTGGACCGGGACCCACGGCCAATCTGGCCCACGGATAGACGCGTGCTGAGTGGAATCAGGGGCTGCAGACAAAAGAAGGCCACGGCCGAAAACTGGGCTGCAGAAAAAAAAAAGAAAAAAAAAAAAAAAACTGGGCTGAACCGAGGACCCAGAGAGAGAAATGTTACTGCTGTTACTGCTGTTACTGCTGTTACTGCTGTTCCTGCTGTTACTGCTGTTACCGCTGTTACTGCTGTTACTGCTGCTGCTTCTGCTGTTACTGCTGCTGTTACTGCTGCTACTGCTGCTGTTACTGCTGCTGTTACTGCTCTTACCGCTGTTACTGCTTTTACTGCTGTTACTGCTGATGCTGTTACTGCTGTTACTGCTGCTGCTTCTGCTGTTACTGCTGCTGTTACTGCTGTTACCGCTGTTACTGCTGTTACTACTGCTGTTACTACTGCTGTTACTGCTGTTACTGCTGTTCCTGCTGTTACTGCTGTTACTGCTGTTACTGCTGCTGCTGCTACTGCTGTTACTGCTGCTGCTGCTGCTGTTACTGCTGTTACTGTTGCTGCTGTTACTGCTGCTACTGCTGCTGTTACTGCTGCTGTTACTGCTCTTACCGCTGTTACTGCTTTTACTGCTGTTACTGCTGATGCTGTTACTGCTGTTACTGCTGCTGCTGTTACTGCTGCTGCTGCTGTTACTGCTGGTGCTGTTACTGTTACTGCTGCTGCTGTTACTGCTGCTGCTGTTACTGCTGCTGCTGTTACTGCTGTTACTGCTGCTGTTACGGCTGCAGCAAAAAAAGAGACTAAAGACACAGAGTCACTGCTGTTCTTGTTGATTGTTTTTGTTGTTGAGAACAGAGTAAACAGTTACAGTAAACAGTTACAGTAAACAGTTACAGTAAACAGTTACAGTAACACTGGTACTTTTATATATAGTAATAGTAAATTAGTTCTAATAAAACTTTTTATTTAAAAAATATCTGTAAAGGAAAAAAAAGTCTAACAATCATTAACACAACTATTTTTTAGTAAAGTTTTTTTTATCATCTCTCTGCACTTTATCTGTATGTGTATGCATTTTTTTTCTTTTTTCTGTTACAGACTAACTGTAGGCTGCGCTGCGCCTCTTGGCACAGGGCGCATTCTTTCTCCTTTCAGTCTGGAGACCAGGCAGGAATTAATCTCCATCGTCGGACATTGTTCCCCCTCATTTGCATAAAGCTGCAGTATATGACCAAGTCAAATAATGACACAATCGGAGCCGAGCCGCAGGCCTGGGTGCCTGCCTTTCATCACTGGCCCCGGAGTCGCTGCCTTCACCTGCCTGAAAACACACAGCGGTATTTTGGTCAAATTCATTTAAATACTGAGGGGGAGAAAAAGAAGAAGAAGAGAAAAAAAACACCGTTAATGTCACGGCAGTGGGTTTAAATTACACAGAAACTTTGTTTAAACAGCGCGACACGTTTAAAAAAAACTGAGCAAATGAAAAATAAAATAAAACGAAAGAAGAAATCGTGTCGTAATTAGGAATTTAAATCGAATCGTGAAGTTGTACCGAGCGCTTTTATCGTCGTTTTGTTGTCGTTAATTATTCTTCATTCCTGTTCAACATGTGAAATAACTTCACGTTTGTCTCTCCTCGTTAGTTGGACGAAGTAAAAGGACGTTTTAAAAAAACAAATCGATTTTTTTTTTTACAAATATCAATGAAAATTTCTCGAATGTATTTTTTAAAATAAAAACATTCAAACATTTTAGTCGGTGATTAAAGATGAGAACTTTACACCGCTCTAACATTCACTTCCACTTTTTCGTACTTTGATATTTGAACTTTTTTCCACTTTGTAGAATTTTAAATCTTAAATTTCGCCTCTTTTTATTCTTATCTGTGTTTTATTTACACTATTATTCCTTCTTTTTTTTTTTTTTATTGTCGGTCTGGCGTTAGCAGCGTAGCTGAAGCCGTGACGTCATTTTAACGAGTTCCTCTTTAGCCCGAGATCACTTCCGTGTGGCGCGTGGGCCTCTCCGCCAGGCGCATGCGCGTGTTTACTGAGTGTCGCGTGCTCATTATCATACAGCTGCACTTTTATCTCTCTCTCTGCGTGTGTATGCGCGGGCGCGCGCGCGTGCTCGTGTGTGCCGTGTCACAGCTGCGGTTCCTCGGTGCTGCTGCTGTGACACTGTACACAGTTACACCAGAGCCACGATAACCGAAGGAAATGTCACGATATTTAGGGTTTGTTTTTTTTTTAATCCACCGAAGTGACGTCAGAACCATCAGCCCCCACGGACGATGGGGGGGCGGGGGCGGGGCGTGGTTCTTTCAAAGTATTTTCTGAGAGTTAGTACATGGAGCGAGTTTTATCAATCTTTCAAAGTATTTTCTGAGAGTTAGTACACGGAGCGAGTTTTATCAATCACAGTATTGTGGGAATACTAGCTTTAGTGAAGTATCTGACTTTGTCACGGACACGGAATTATTTCACAAATAATAAGATGAAGCGTTGGATTTTCAAAATAAAAGTTCCAATCTATCTTTATGTTTTAGAACGAAATTTTCCCGCGTTTCAGTCGTCAGTCATTTAATACAATATGGAGATAATTGTAAAAAAAAAAAAAAGTTTATACCATTGAAAGAGATAGAGAGAGCATCTGACCCACAGACTGTCCACAGAGGTGGGCTGCATGTGGTCCTGGAGTGGTGCTTCACTGAGACCTGGGAATCCTGTGAAGGTCGACTGAATCATCAGTCAGTAGAAAATGAGATTTTTTTTTTCTCAGACTCAGACTGATCTGGGCTTCAGTCATTATTTTGTTCTTTTCTTATTGACGTCATCACACTGGTTATTTCTTTGCACAATCTGGATAAACCTGAAATGGACCTGGAACAGTTTGTTAGAATCATGTGACAATTTCTCAGAAATTCTTCAAAACGTGAAATAATTTTGTGTCCGTCAGAAAAACAGAAATGTATATAAACATAAAAGTAAAAGTATTCAAACTCAATTTGAATACTTAAAAAAAATAAAAAATATATTTCAGCCTGGAGCTGCTGCTTAGTTCAGCGCCACCTGCAGGAGGAAGAATTAATGCTGAGGAAACTGAGAAAGTTCACCTCCCCCCTCAGGTCTATTTACCGACTTCCTGTCAAACATTAACCACAGTTACCCGGGGACTTGTTGGAACCTTTGCTTTATTTTCTCACTGATCACATTAGTTCCTACACTGGTGTAGATCCTGCGTGTTCTTCTTCTCACGACCGTCTCCGTGTCCGTGTGCCGCGGCAGGCCGAGCCAATTTGAAAGTGCAACAGGACACGGCTGTAATTGGTGCTCACTACATGGCCACCTCCAATGCATTGTCAATCAGTTAATGTAATTGATTAGCCGAGGTCCTATTCTGGCCGGCTGTAATCTGATAGAGGCCTCTTTCAGCACCATGGAGAGAGCCAGCGAGGGACCCAGATTTAATCAGGCCGGCTGTGGACACAGCACAGCTTCAGCCTTTGTCCCCGAAAACTGAGAGCAGGCAGCCAGGCAGCCAGGCACCGACGGCCGAACAAAAACACGGCAGAACAAAAGTGCCAGAGTTTAATGAAGTGATTGCTTTTTAAACACAGTTGTGAACAGGCCCCCCGGTGGAGCACATGTGGAACTGCGTCCAAACACACGGACTGTTCTCGTACATTTTCTGGAGAGATTTTTTTTTTCCAAGACAAAAGATATAAGTAGTGGTAATTTTTTCATTATTTGGCCGTGTAAGTGATTGGTTTAAACACTATAATCCAAACATTGTTTGTTTCTGCTCCCCTTCAAATGAAGGAGTTCTAATTTATATATATACATATATATATACGTATATATATATATACATGTATATATATATATATACATATATATGTATATATGTATACCGTATACATACATATATATATATATATATACACATATATATGTATACATATATATGTATACATATATATATGTATATATATATGTATGTATATATATATTAAATGGATTTGTTTTTACCAAAGTCAGAGTCAATGCTGCTGTAACAGTCTCTACAGACCAGGGACGTGCCGTGAGGTTCATGACTTGCGAGACCTTCAGACGCCCCCTTGTGGTGAGGCAGAGTACTGTTTGCTTCTCCTGCTGACTTTTCTCTGCACGTTCTTGTCCGATCATCAGGAACATTAAAGACATGACACAGACTGTAGAGAGTCAGGATGTAGAACAAATATTTCTGTAAAGTTCATATTGGCGATATGCATAATTATGTAATATCGGTAAGAATCAGTTTTTTCTTCCAATATTGAAAATCCTCAGGGGTGTGAAACTCATTTTTTACCAGTGGAGTTCCTTAAAGGGACGGTCATAACTGTATATCTGTAATATCTGTATCTGTAAATGTTTCTAC